AGAAAGAAAGAAAAAGACACACCTGGAGAGAGCAAGGAAGAGAGAGAAATAGAGAGGGAGAGAGAGAGAGAGAGAGAGAGAGAGAGAGAGAGAGAGAGAGAGAGAGAGAGAGAGAGAGAGAGCAAAACAAACCGCTAGGAGGACAGAGATGAGGGAGACATAAAGGCGACAGACATAAATGAAAAAGAAACAGATTGAAAGCCTTTCGAGACGAGTCGCCCCGACGCGGGTAATGAGAAATTAAACGGTTGATTGACAACTTCACAAGGAACTTGGGAAGAACCACCCCCACCCCCACTTCCTTTCCCTTTTAACACCTTTCCCCTCTCCACAAACCCCACCCAGCCCCCCACTTCCTTTCCTCTCCAACACCTTTCCCCTACCCACAACCCCAGCCTCTCTCCCCTACCTACTCCCTTTCCTTTCTAACGCCCATCCCCCGCTCCACAACCCCCACCCTCTCTCTCATCTACTTTCTTTCCTTTCAAACGCCGTTCTCCCTCTCCACAACCCCCACCCCAACCCCACAACTACCACCCTTTCTTTTGGTAAACGTTTTAACGCCCCACTAGACACCAAATAGGTCGTTTAAAAGGCAAGGTACTTTTTGTTCAAATGGCGACACACCAAATTCCTGGAAAGGCGAGAAAAATTCGGCTCCTGCTTCTCAGTAATTTTTCACACTTTGAGATCAGATGTACCTATTCAAAACAATTTAGAATACTAAGGGGGCAGGTTGTTTCAACCCAGCATATTAAGGCTAGCACAGGCTGATGAGATTAATATAGTATCTCAAAAGTATTTTATAGAGATACTTGACAAATAGTACCTCGTTTGGGAGACTCGAACTCGCGTCTTTTGCGGGCAAGATGAAAAAGTTTAAAAGTTATACCAAAGAAGCTTTTCTAAACAGCCTGTTGTGATTGGTTTACGTCCATTTATTTTTTAACTTTTATCAGAATTCAAAGACGTTTTATCTATGTTTATTTTGACATCACCATTATTTGCAAAGTTGTGAGATTTTCTCTTTAGCTGAACTTGGAACGAAATTTCATAGAAACATTTAACTGATTCTTGCTCTGGGTATTCTAGGCCGTTATTTGTGTTAGGAATGTCTCTGATGCCAAGCACATGATTGCAACCAATGATTCTTGGACATTTTGGTCTCTTTTCTACTTGGCGAATGCAAACAGAAAGGTTGTTGGTGTATTGTATATCGGTACTGTGATGTGAAATATAGCATTATTACTATTACTGTTTTGGATTCTATGTCGTCTTGTGGGTGCGGAATGCCTCCTCCCGTGTATCCTTGTGATCTTTGTATTGCTTCTTCCACCCCTCTCTCTCTCTCTCTCTCTCTCT